GGTTCTACTTGGAAGTGAGAATGAGCCTTTAGGGGGACACGATGAATACCTTCACCAAGCATAGGCATGTACGTAGGTAACGGGGGGTGGTGGTGAAATCGTGTTAGAGCCCCTCTCCCGCCTCTGAACTTTATTTAAGAATCCTGAGCCCGCGTATGCGCCCAAGTATACTCTCTCTGAAAGAGAGCAAACACAAACGCGCTTGCTCTCTCGCTCACTCACGTCTCGTCACTCACGGCCTTTATTTGTATGTTGAACGAGAAACGAACATGGCCCTGCGAAGAGAAGATATAATGCGTCCTACGCCGTCATACCGGCGGTGACACCGAATCACCGCGTTGGACGAAACCCTCATGCACTGTTACAGCTATAATTGTAACGATGCATGAGGGTTTCTCGGTTTCATCAATCTATAAGTGTAACTTGACTAAATGTAATGTAGATGAGAAAGAACTCGCAGATTTGGTCATTATTGGAGGGAATCTGAAGGTGGTATATATATATATATATATATATATATATATATATATATATATATATATATATATTTTACAGAAACTCAGTGAGAGCCACTTGCTCAGCCCGAGCATAAATACGCTAGCGGCGTGCTTTAACACGTATGTTGAACACAGACGCCATGGAACTGTATTTACAAAGCCCGAACTCAATCGACTACCACTCGTTAAGAGGTCATTAACGAGCTTGACGTCAGAGGGCAGTTTCATTTTATGTGTATATCAAGAAACTGCTCGTTCTGAACACCGCGAGTATATGCAGGAACGCCACACGAAGACCAGTGTACTGAGAATGGCGAAAAACATGAAATAGTTCTACTCATGTTGTCGATCTTCAAATGTGAATGATTGAATTTAAGATTTGAGTATGAAAAGTCATTTAACTCGTATACCGCTTTCCTCAATGAAAGAGGCGCCAAACACGCAAAAACTAGTTATAGTTATAGAACAGGTCAGTGGATACGTTTCTCTATATACACAGATACCGACCCGTTTTCAGCTGGCCAGACACTCTTCCATCTAACTCTTGATTACAAGGACCAAGTTACGAGGTAACCCTGTGGAATATGAATATTATTATTATGACCACATATTTACAGCCGTGAAAACACCTCATCGTGCATGCATCTGTTCTAATGCAGATGCTGCACCGAACAGGACGCTATACGTGAACAAACGCGCTACAGTCTGTGGAGAGTCATCTGCAAATATAAATGCTTCACTTATGTACATGCGTGGTTGAACTGTATAGCTTACGTAAGTACATATACAGACTTCGCACCATTTCAAGGAGTATTATAAGCGTACTATAAGCATGAGAGCACTCTTGGACACTTGAACAACGGCTACATCACCGCAACCTTGCGAAAGAAGAAAAAAAATCTTTGAAACTGTAGCACTGGTAACAAACGCAACGTGAGAGGAGTTGGCGAGGTTAATAAAGAGGAAGGTGGTCTGGGCTCTAAATAGTATAATTACTGACGGTGTTCTCTTGGTTTCTATGTGTGTGACGGTGGTGCTTCGGCACAGCGACACAATACAGGGGGTTCTTAGAAAGTGTGTACTCTGAAGATGCTCCCGTGGTGTCGTTCCAGCCAACGGCACGGCAAGACGGCTTTGCATTTCGTGAAACGCGTCCAGGTGTGGCATCCAGAGACGCGAAGTAGAAGAAGACGAAGCAGCAGCTCGGCGATATAGAACACGACTATCGTGGAAGAGGGTGTACTGAACGCGCACAAGGGACTGTACTCACGATGGAACGTTTCTTGTCTTTTTTTAGGGTAATAAAAACACCGGATGGCTTACATACAGAACACCATATACATGGGCAGTAGTCACACTGCTAGTAATGTGGCAGAGTGGGTAGTGACACGGCATATAGTCAAGTCGGACTGAGACTGCGAACAACTTGATTTAAATTCAAGTTGAAGTCAATTCCAAGCCGGTCTTCATTTCATTTCAAATCCATTCTTGCCAGATAAAACAGAGAAAATACGGCTTTTTTGTAGCGGAGCATATGAAAGAAGTATCTGTGACAGAATGTGCAATACCTCCCGAATATGCATGTTCTCAGACAACAAATGGTATTAAGATGCTAGCTAAGTGATGAAGTTTCTTTATAGTTAGGTTCAAGTAGTTGCTCTAGAGTTCACCGTCTAGACTAACAGATCAAAAGCTACAGAAAAAATTGTTTCTTTATTTCTGATTCAACACCCCTATTGAGAAACACGTTCTCCTACCCTGTGATAAAATGCACCGATGTTTCACTTAACAGGCGTCGCACTGCCAAAAGAAAACAACTGCTGAAAAGCCTTAACTCGGAAAATATTTATTAAACGCCGGCTAAATGCATTTCATACCTCTAAACCCGTTTCGGTAAAACACAGTCGTTACGGGCAGTAATGGTGAAATGCGAGTCTTTCGCTCCGGTTTAAGCTAGAGGAGCCAGCAGCAGGTTACGCATAAGAGCAGTAAAGTAACGCCGATGCGATCAATAAGCCTATCATTTCCCGAGCAGGACTCGCGAAAATCAGATAGACAACGTAACAACTAAACCGCAACAGTACTTCCGCTAGCGGTGACCGTTTCGATTGGAGCTGCGATCCGCAACAGCGTTTTCGACTTTTAAAGACTGCAGCTGTGGTACTCCTAAATGCCTAGAACGCTAGAAAGTAAGATTGTTCTTTCAGTGCGGAGACGGGACGTCCCGAACATCGCTGAATTCTAGCTGATGACAGCGTAGCCTATGGCGATTCAAGAACGATTCGTATTTCACTGCCCCTTTGAGGTGTGAAGCGGCAGGCGCCACCTCTCATATCGATTACGCGTGCTCCTTCATGTCATTCAGGACAAGCAACGTATCAATATTGGTGCGCACGAATGCAAAAGTCGAAAGGCACGAAACAAACTGATGCACGTGCATGAAACTTGGCAGATATATATAGATTTGAATGGTAGTAGCAAGAAAGTAAATGCTCTCTGTTTCTCCGCCTAGTACAAAACAATAACCTAATCGACTTATTAAACCTGCGTTCTTCATTAAAGGCTGGGTCAGTGGCCACCCTGTCAGTACAGAAAAACTCAATTATTCAGAAACCGTCGTTCAATTCGCTAGGGAAGTAAATATTCCGCAAGGCCCAGCCTACCGTCACGGGCTGGCGTGCGTGCAATGGACGTCAGGACAAAAACTTTCAAAATTTTGTGGCGGACGGCTGTGTAGAATGCACTGGGACGTTTACAACTCCTACAGGTGAGTAGAATGACGCACAGAAGAGTGATATCGCGCTAGTATATACATTGTAGAGCTCAAGTGCTCTACAAAGAAACAGCAGGCCTTTAACTGAGTTAAGACGACCCGTGCTTCCTGCTCGGTCACAAATAATGTACACCACTACCCCTTTCTCACCTAGGGACACGTGTGAAGGCAGGACGCTGCTTAGAGAGCCTATCGTTGTCAGTTGACAGGGCCGAACGGTGATTGCAGCGAAGCAGCTGCTCTCACGCAAATTAAGGTGCACCAATATTGTTAGTTGAAAGACGCTGCCTTGGACGTATGATTCATAATCTGTAGCAAATGTCTACTTAAACTTAGCTCGACCTCTATCTCGTGCCAGACCCAGTGAATCCATTGCACTCGCGAGTACTTCCGTAGAACCGTCACAGCTTTAAAATCCACAGCACTCTATACAGCAGTGAATCCACAGCACTCTATAAAGCATGGATCTCCAACTCTACAAAGGCGGCGTGGCCTCCGTGACTAGCTCCGGCAGTACGTCGATGATAATTTGCGTTAAGGTGTACTAGAAGCATCTAGAACACTCTAATTGCGTGCGGCCAGGGATAATCACGGAGGCCACGTTGGTGGTCCCAGCCAAATGCGTTATGGATGCAGCCCTCGCTGTTGAGACTGTGATCACATTGCGTTCTATGTAGCCTGAGCGGCGGGTGAAGGTTCTTGCCTCCATCTGTCCCGGACTGTGGTTCGAATAAAGTAACATACGAAAAAAATATTGTAAATGCCTTGTGGCAGATGAGGCAGTGTGATGAGATAAAATGTGACAAAAAGTAACATTTCATGCTCCTTAATCTTGGTGAAGAGTTTGTATGGACAATGATTACCGGCACTATAGGGCTCCTAATAGGGTGTATCTTTAGGAAGATCGCAGCTCTGCAATTTTAGGGGCGAAGCTCCTTACGCTGTGGGTCGTACGTGCCGTGTCGTAGTGGTAGCCAGTTTTCACGGTCATAAAATTGTATTGCATGTCAATAAAAACGGCGCCACAGCATATCCACGGAGCGAATGATAATGAGTGGGGTGAAGCGGCCGTCAGTCCGTCCGCCATGCGTACGTCCGTCCCTCCGTCCTTCGCCCCACTCGTCATTATTCACCTTGTGCGTGATGCTGTGATTTTTTTTGTATGTGGAGTCCTGTACTAACTTTCGCCGTTCTCGCTCAAGCTACATTGCTCTGTTAGTCTGCTGGACACCATGTTCACTAAGGCCTGGTGACCATTCTGTTCACTACATGTGCTCTATATATTACGGCAAACATTGTAGCAAATCCAATGAGTGAGTGAGAAAGAAACGAGAAAAGGTAAGGTGATCGCTGCAACAAGATCTCCAGGTTACGTCTGTCCTTAAACTCAGCGCGGGTTCGCCATGTAACACCGCAGAAATCTTGCCCGACTATTTAAGTAATGCGGAAACGACTTGACTACCTGGTGTGTGTAAGAGACGGCCTTCAACATAGTGAAGTCGGGGCGTGGCGATAATTAATCCGCACTCATTCACATGCCATGGATTGTGCCTCACCGCAGCAAGCCGCCGTGGCAACCAACAGCACAGAAACCCTGCACTACGCATAAAGCTCTGCAGCTGCAGCTGTTTAGAAAATGGGAGTGTGGCTTGACTGTTGAATTCCACGCGGTATAATGTACAATGCTGGTAAGATAGCTAGAAATGCTACTCCGAACCAACCTTGGTACAACCTTGGTACAAGTTATACCTTTACCAACAACCTTGGTACAAGTGATCCACGGTGGGGTCTATAAGCACGATTTCAGCGCTCCAAACGTCACTCCAACACGACCAGCAGTCGGCTTGTCTCTCTGTGGCTGTGCTACTCATCAGATAAATTTGCTTTAAGATCTGTACCAGCCATACAGTTCTATCTATCAGCCAAGGCCTGTGTCGCATTAAGGAAAAAAAAAGAGCGAACAGGGCGACCCCAGACAGTGATCAGTCCGTAACATCAACAGCGAATATTCACGAACACTTTTGCTCCACCCACGCGGGGAAAGAGCTACAAGAGCTTGCTTAATAAGAGAAGACCCTGAAATTCGCCACAGTCCTGCGCGAAGGCTGGTAGAGTTTTGTAAGAGTTGAGAATCGATGAACGCTGTGTGTTTTCACCGCCGCTGAACCGAGTGTCTCAATGTCCGCACATTGGCTCACAATCCTCAGGAGCTGTGCTGTTCACCATTGGCCGCGAGTTGGGGCTGCGGCGACGGGGCGTGCGGACAGACGTGTGCGGTTTCGCAGGCTCCGCCGGGCCTCCCGCTGGTACTGGCGACGCTTGCTTCATGATGGCCGCGCGGCATGCCATCAGGCGTCGCAGGGCACTCGCCTCCCGCGGCGGCGGTCGAGGACCCGTGTGTGTGCACGCCGTGTTCGGGACTGTTGCGCGAATGCAAGCCCGACGAAGGCGGAGGCAGCTCTGGCACGATGAACTGCACCTGCGGCAAAGGAACACGTCGCGGGTAAGAGGTAAGTCTGCGAGAGTAAAATGACTGCATGATAACAAGGGTTGCAGCGCGAGCACGAATGTGCTAGAAAAAACAGACGAAAGTCGAGGTATGGAAGGCAAAGAGGACAACACGAGCGCTGCCTCTTTGCCTTCCATACCTCGACTTTCGTCTGTTTTTTCTAGCACATTCGTGCTCACGCTGCAACCCTTATTATCATGAACTCAAACCAACTAGCCCAAATCGCCATTCTTCTAAAATGACTGGTCGGTGGATTTACTGTTAAGTAGTCATCGCACTGTATATAGGGCAATGAAGTGCAACAGCAAAGCTCGTATAATCTATCTACACTTATTGACACGCGTATTACCAAAGTACGGAAATGGGGGATGGACACATCATACTCAAGTTCGCTTTGCGGAAGCAAGACTTTTTGAACCCTGACACCAGCCATTGTCAGCTCCAACGTTAGAGTGTTCGTTAAAATCTTCTTATTGAATTAAAACATGTAGTGTAGAGGACAGTTTATGTTTGATCTTTCATCTTCATTTTTGCCCTTTGCCTGGACCAAAGCAGAGAACCCCGAACCAGTCTCTCTCACTACTTTAGCTCTCTGCATTACACCTCTGATATTGTTTCTGTCACCCTCACATCGCAAGTAAAATTTGCAGTTGTGCTGAGCTCACCTGGGTGGGCGGGTGGCTGCTTCTTCTTTTGCGAGGCGAGCCGGAAGCTACGCCGCAGCGGTGCGCAGTTGGGGTACGCCCTCTGGGAGACGTCGTCCCCGAAGAGCAGGTCACCTGCGCGGCGCCGAAGGCTGCGGTTGCGTATGCTGCCCGTGACGCGACGCCGACGCCCAGCTCGCCATCCTCGTAGTCATCGTCGTCATCGTACGAGCGGCCGGTGACTCGGTCGTACACGAGCGTCACCAGGATCACGACAAGTATGAGCCCTCCCACGATGGTGAGCATGATGCCGATGGAGGCGAGCGTCTCGGTGGCCACGAGCACGGCGCCGCAGAGGAGCGCGAGGAAGGCGAACACCAGGTTGAGGATGAGTCCGCAGCACCGGCGAGTGCACAGGTAGAGCGCCAGGAGGCCGGGAATCACGATGGGGCTCGAGATGAGCAGGTACTCCCACGAGGCGTGACCGGGCGGCTGCGCCACGGTGAGCGCGATGGCGAAGCACAGCCCGATGCCCAGCACCGAGAGGAACGCGAGCACGCCCAGGTAGCGGCACAGGCGGCGCCATTTCGGCCGCTGGCTCTGCAGCGGGTTCTCGCCGGCGCTCTCGCTGATCGCTATCAGACCCGGCGCGTAGTTTTCGGCCGCCCACATCGTCACATGCCGGGCTCGTTTGCCGCCGGCCGCTCTGAGGAAAAGAATAAAATACACAACCGTAAATTTAAACTATAATGTTGTACAGCGACAGAATCTGGCATTAATATGACATACAACTGAGGCAGTAGTTCTGGTAAAGATGGAAGCCTGAAAAAATGATAAATTCTCGATGCAACTGCAAGGTTGCCACCTCGATGAAGACAAGACACCTTGCCGAAAAGTTGGCTCCCGTGCTCAATAACCTTTTATCATATCAGCATGATATACATGTATATACCACATTTAAGCATAAGAACAGTGTGACCTTTCTCAAACTTTATTATTGGTATCGTCCTCTTATTTTATTTTTGAACAGTCAGAACAAACGAACAGCACCTCCCGCAAACATTTAGCAGCAAACTCCTCACTTAATAACACAAGTGCGACAAGCATCTTTCCTCGTTTTTTCCTGGCGAGTGATACCTTGAATTAAGTAGATTTTGATGTCTTATGTTCTCTGTCTAATTTGGGAACATGTAGTATCGCTCAGCTGTGTTAAGACGTTCATTCGTAACGCCTGGAGCTCTCAGATTGACTAGAGTATAAAGTTGGGCATGTTGGTAAGACATAGTTGATCGACGCAGCGTGTTTAGAAACATAGGACAAGGGAAGGGACAGAAGGGAGCGCTTACTTCCAACAAAATCTTTATTTCGAGGAGCGTACATATATATGCTCACGAAATTCGAAGACAACAGATAAACAGATGAAAAACCCTCTATTGCCATGCGCTAAAAACTTATGATCTCAAAAACGACAACTCTTTTTCACAAAGACCGAGAGAAGGAGTGCTGACGCAGTTCAGCCCTAATCTACTAATCTTTTCTGCTTCAATAATCTCCCTTGTCCCTTTATTTCTGTTTTTTCCTATCATTATCGTACCTTGAAAAAGTGGTTTGCAGCCACACGTGCTGCAATGTAGTGCCAAAAAACCATCTCGACCATTTCTTACGTTGCAAGCGTGTTCGCGGAGCCGGTCATTAATGCACCTGCCAGTTTGTCCTATGTAGTATTTACCGCATGAAAGAGGTATCTGATAGATTACAAATTGCGCGCATGTGACAAACAGTGTTAAGTGCTTTTTAGAGCATCCCGGTTTTGCATGTGAAACAACTTTCATACACAAGTAAGAGAGCTTTTTCGGGGCAGAAAACACCACTTTTACATTAGCCCGCTCCCCAACCTTTTTCAAGTTGTGGGAGATTCCATGCAGATAAGGCACTACGGCAAGCTTCTGACGTCTTACTGGCTCATCATGAGGGAGAGCTTGCTGCAAGGACTGAAGCTTCTTGACCAGAATACCCGCGACGGAAACCTGTACGTGAGAGGGGTAGCCAGCGTCCAGAAGTCGTTCTGTCCGCTCCCTTCTGAAGGCGCTCCCTTCTGTCCCTATCACGACAAGTATGAGCCCTCCCACGATGGTGAGCATGATGCCGATGGAGGCGAGCGTCTCGGTGGCCACGAGCACGGCGCCGCAGAGGAGCGCGAGGAAGGCGAACACCAGGTTGAGGATGAGTCCGCAGCACCGGCGAGTGCACAGGTAGAGCGCCAGGAGGCCGGGAATCACGATGGGGCTCGAGATGAGCAGGTACTCCCACGAGGCGTGACCGGGCGGCTGCGCCACAGTGAGCGCGATGGCGAAGCACAGCCCGATGCCTAGCACCGAGAGGAACGCCAGCACGCCCAGGTAGCGGCACAGGCGGCGCCATTTCGGCCGCTGGCTCTGCAGCGGGTTCTCGCCGGCGCTCTCGCTGATCGCTATCAGACCCGGCGCGTAGTTTTCGGCGGCCCACATCGTCACATGCCGGGCTCGTTTGCCGCCGGCCGCTCTGAGGAAGAGAGTGAAAGACACAACCGTAAATTTAAACTGTAATGTTGTGCAGCGACAGCATCTGGCATTAATATGACATACAACTGAGGCAGTAGTTCTCGTAAAGATGAAAGCCTGAAGAAATGATAAATTCTCGATGCAACTGCAAGGTTGCCACCTCGATGAAGACAAGTTGGCTCCCGTGCTCAATAACCTTTTATCATATCAGCATGATATACATGTATATACCACATTTAAGCATAAGAGCAGTGCGACCTTTCTCAAACTTTGCTATTGGTATCATCCTCTTATTTTATTTTTGAACAGTCAGAACAGACGAAGAGCACCTCCCGCAAACATTTAGCAGCAAACTTCTCACTTAATAACACAAGTGCGACAAGCATCTTTCCTCGTTTTTTCCTGGCGAGTGATACCTTGAATTAAGTAGATTTTGATGTCTTATGTTCTATGTCTAATTTGGGAACATGTAGTATCGCCCAGCTGTGTTAAGACGTTCTTTCGTAACGCCTGGAGCTCTCAGATTGAGTCATTCAGAAGCTTTCCGTGCTCTCTGAGACCTGTACTATAGCTTATTGTAAGTTCATAGACGTGAAAAAAAAAGTAATGCTACAGTTTACGCACGCAATAACGCTCATGCGCTGAAACTTGAAGCCCTCGTGATAACATTGAAATGTTGAAATGCCACCGTCATGCACTCTCCCCCTGTTTCAGTGAAGCTATAGGGTACAAACAGTACTAATATATATGCTGTTTTTTTCCCACTGCTTTCCCTCTAACGCTCGCTGTTCGTTGCCTCGACTGGTATCTATCTTTACTAAAAGCTTTAGAGCACGAACTGTAATGCTAACATGCCTTCTTTACATATGATTGGCGAATACCTCCATAGTGAGAAATGGCGATCCCAAACGTGAGTTGGTGCAGGAGACATTCAAGCACTCCGAAATTGGTGCGAACTTTGTTCCAATGTTTTTCAATCGGGCTATCTCATATCGGCATGTATGCCAGGTCACGCAGGCGCAGTAGCGAATGCTTTCATGTGCTTTCATTTTCAATAGAAGGTGATTATAGAAAGACGGTGAACGTGCCATGTATACACATACCATTCAAGTTCTCAGCGCACTATTCTCGCGTACATATTCGGCCCTACTGCTAAAACATATTGCGTAATACGCGAAACTGCTCCACGTTTCAAATGCCGCCGTTATTGCGTAAAACATTCCGCATACGAAAATATGCGTGTGACTTTCTGCATGACTTCGTCCTATGCCGCATTGGGGTTGCCTAACGTATAAGATGCGCGGTTCCCTCCCTTGGCACAGTGCAGTCGTGTGTATCTGCATTCACGCAGAAAGTGACAGGTGAAAAAGTCCCCACAGTAAAAGCAGCTCGGAATGCAAAGAATTAAGTAGGAGAGAAGATGGGATGAAAAACAAAACGACGCCATATCAACGAAGTGAATGATGATGAAGGAGCTTGCTTCGGAGGTTAAATCTGGTACGCTGTGAATCCTCCGTACATCCACTCGACCATCATACGAATACATGCCATGCCCCGCCGCGGTGGTCTAGTGGCTAAGGTACTCGGCTGCTGACCCGCAGGGCGCGGGTTCAAATCCCGGCTGCGGCGGCTGCATTTCCGATGGAGGCGGAAATGTTGTAGGCCCGTGTGCTCAGATTTGGGTGCACGTTAAAGAACCCCAGGTGGTCTAAATTTCCGGAGCCCTCCCCTACGGCGTCTCTCATAATCATATAGTGGTTTTGGGACGTTAAACCCCACATATCAATCAACGAATACATGCCATAGCAGGGGCTGCGAAGGTTTTAGGATTTTAAACCTCAACAATTATCATCATTATTATTATAGTGAAGGTTCGTTGCAGCGCCTCCCCCCTTACACGAAAAAATCGACGTATTCGACCTGAACTCGCAAGAATAGAGTTTCTTAAAATTAACTAGAGGGGACTCTGTCTCTGCGATCGTTCAGCGACCATGGGAATGATGGGTAGTACACACATTTGCCCAGTCTTCGTACTTGCGGCTTCGTTTATAGATGTGCTTCGGTTTTGTTTTGCAAGAAAGATTCAACTCTTTTGAACTTCGTGACCTGATTTGGAAAGGTAAGTCTAAAAGAATAAGGTGGTGAAGTGAAATCGCTGAAAATTTGCAAATTTTTTGTTTCGCGAGAAAACAGCTCCTCCAAGAAACACGAAGGAAGGAACGCCAGGTGGCGCAGAACGGAGCAGTCCGGGGTCTTTGGGCTCCCGCTTCAGCAAATGATTTTTGTGGTTTTTCGTGTGCTGTGCCTCAAGATCTTGCTACGAGTCGACTCATAAGCTGCCAAGGTTCACGTCGGTAGCGGACTTTCACCGGTAGGTTCATTTTTGAGCATTTTTCGGACTTTTACGCCACCGACCACGCCTCGCGTGCTTACCAAACGCCGAGTTGGCGTCTGCCGGGCAGGACGCGCCCTTCCTTGGACGCGCCCTTCGTTCCACCTGCTGAGCCAATATGCTGGACGGTGCTGCTGTTATTATGGACGGTGATGAACTCCCTCCGGAAGAGTTTGGAGAGGAACACGGCTGGCGTTCCGCCGCGGTGAAGAAAAGCTCGAGGCGCACGAACGCCAGTGCTACAGAGCGTGCCACGGCATGCGGCGAGAATGCCAGGGGCAATTTCAGTGCTACAAGAAAAGCTCTACACTTGAAGAATCAAGTTATCAAATCATCGAGAATGCCTCGACTGCCTAGCGAGCACTGGAAGATTATCGTCCGTCCAAGGGGTGGCTTGGATGTTGAGAAGGCGGGCTCAGCTAGACTTGGCCGGGCAATCGCAGAGGCGGCTGGAATTGTACCCACGCTCATCAGTCAGGACATTGTCTGCCCGAATGCAACGCAAAATATCATAGTTATTAGCACGGCGTCCCGTGCGAACGCTGACTCTTACCTCAGGATGAGCTGCCTTACATTGGGAATGAAGAAGTATGACATCAACACTTACGAGGCTGCCCCGCATGAGACCTGCAAGGGGGTCATCCGTAAGATTGACGCATCGGAGAGCCAGACGGAGCTGGAGAGGAGCATCCTTACTGAAAGAAACCCCACGGCTCTGGGAGTCAGACGTATTAAGAACACTGAGACGGTGGTTATTGTCTTCGATGGCTACAAAGTTCCCAACTTCATTTATTTCGGCACAGCGCTGGTCAGATGCTCGCTTTACCATCGGCAGCATGACTGCTGCTATGCCTGTGGCAGACTCGGGCACAGGGCGGACGTCTGTCCGACACCGGACGAAGCTGTGTGCAAGAGGTGCGGAATCAACAACCCTGATGAGAACCATCAATGTTCCCCGACCTGTGGATTCTGTGGCGGCCCACACGCCACGACGGATAAAAGTTGCCAGCAAAGGTTTTGTTCTGTTTTACGCGCTCATCAATGACACAACCACACGAGACGCTAGCTAGCAAGGGACTGTTTATTGATGGCTACCGCGCCGCGCGCGCACCCTCTCTCAAGGTGGCCAGGTGAGGTGGGATCATCCCGATTTATTAAGCGGTGGCCCGCCTGGTACATCCTCCTTTTTCTTTAGGTGATGTAGTCGGCAAAGCGCGTCGGTGCTCTACGTGGCCTAGTTGATCTTCTGAGACTCGAGTCGGCTGCTTCTTGTGCCTGGCAAGTGACCTTATGCTGGGACGGGACCACGTCGGGGTCCCTTGATGGTTGACTTGCAATGGGTGGTGCACGTGCAGCTGACTGGTTCAGTAGAGCATCCGATGCAGGCGCCTGTTGTGACGGATGTCGTTCCTTTCGTGATGCGGATGCTGTTGTCAAATCGGGCGCTGTATCTGATGTTGAATGTTGTCTATGCTGTATAGGCGACGGGATTATCGGTGCGACATCCTTGTCATCCAGTGGGTCTAAGTGTTCGGGCGTCCTTTTTAGATGCTGACGATTCCTTCGATAACGCCGGCCTTCATCTGTACAGACTATGTAAGATCTAGGGCCAGCAAGTTTCTCTACTCGGGCTTTCGGAAACCACCCCTTGTCGTTTCTTATTCTGACGACGTCCCCTTCGAAGAGAGGTGTGAGAGGTATGCCTTTGCAGTGATCCTGTGGATGTTTCCGCACTGACGATGTCGAAGCCGATGAGAAGTCTGGAAGTCGTCCCCGAAGCATCCGTCCCATAAGGAGCTGACTTGGTGTGCGTCCGTCTATCAGGGGCGAGATTCGATAATTGAGCAGTGCAACCCAAAACTCCTCGCCAGCGTACTCACTTTTCTTCAAGAGGCGCTTTACGACCTGTACCCCTTTCTCAGCTAGACCATTGGCCCTGGGGAAGTGTGGACTGGATATGGTATGAGTAAAATCGTATTTTACTGCAAACTGTCTAAACTCTCGTGATGTGAACTGTGGTCCTCCATCGGTACAGACTTCAATGGGTATACCGTGGCGAGCAAACATGGTCCCTAGTGTGTCCACTACGACCTGACTTGTTGACTGAGGCAACTGTTCCACTTCTGGGTAGTTGGAGTAGGCACAGTACGCAACCAGGTAACGCTTGCCCCCATGGTCAAATAGGTCGACACCAATTCGCTGCCACGGCCGCGTTGGGATTTCCCTCGATAACAGTGGCTCTGAAGGTTGCCGGTAGGCAAAGTGCTGACATGTGGCACACTTGCTAATGAGTGACTTGATGTCAGCATTCATCCCAGGCCAGTACATCAGAAGGCGTGCTCTGGCTTTGCACTTGCTCATTCCCAAATGGCCTTCATGAAGACGTTGCAGCATGGATCGCCTCAGACTCTTTGGGATTACCACCCTGCTGCCCCGCAAAAGCACTCCATCAACAAATGACAGTTCTGACAAACATGGAGCTAGTTCGCCTGAGACTGGTCGTCCTTCCTGGAGTGCCTCCACCACTTGCTTGAGGTATGGGTCCGCCAGGATTGCAGAGGTCAGTTCAGTCTTCGTGTTCTCACTTACGATGCTGGCTAGCACGCGAGTCGCATGGATGCATACGTCTTGTTCGCTTTCTCCGTCACTCGGTTGGGTTCCTGGAATTCGGGACAGCGTGTCCGCCACTAGCAGATGCTTCCCAGGAACATACTGCAATTTGATATCAAAAGGCATTAGCCTCAAGAAATAGCGCTGCAATCGTGGCGGCATTTCACTCAGGTTCTTTTGTGAAATAGCAAGCAAAGGTCGGTGGTCTGTTTCGACTGTCACTGATAACCCCAGTACGAACTCCCGGAAACGCTCACAAGCAAACGTCACGGCCAGCGCTTCCTTTTCAATTTGGGCATATTTTGTTTCAGCCTTTGAGAGCACCCTTGAAGCATAACCCACTGGGCGCCAATCTTGGTCATGGAGTTGAAGAAGAGCAGCACCTACCCACTTCTGACACCATGTTCTGTTTTACGCGCTCATCAATGACACAACCACACGAGACGCTAGCTAGCAAGGGACTGTTTATTGATGGCTACCGCGCCGCGCGCGCACCCTCTCTCAAGGTGGCCAGGTGAGGTGGGATCATCCCGATTTATTAAGCGGTGGCCCGCCTGGTACAGGTTTCAGCTTCCATTTATTGTGCGAAGGCGGCGAAGAGAGCGCCGTGCGGAATCAGAGCGTCGTAGTCAGCAAACGGTACCTGCTAACGCCGACGAGGGTGTGAGCCAGCCTGCACACCGCAACTCCAGTTCAAACAGTCGTTCTGCTGCAACTGGGGTGGACAGCCGTGACTCATCGCAACAGGCAAGCAGTCGGTCCAGATCCAGATCTCGGTCCAGAAGTCGCTCCCAAGGCCAGCGAAAGGGAACTTCGTCTAAAGGCCGAGCCAAGTCCCGGTCCAGAGATCGTCGTCGGTCCCAATCCAGAGGCCCATCGCACTCGAGGAGCCAGTCCAGGGACCCGCATGGCACAGTCCGTTTCCAAAGCCCACCCCAACCGGAGATGCAGGGTGGCTCCTGGGCTGACCGGGTGCGCAGCGGAGGAGGTGAAAAGGTAACGGGAGGCACTGCGCCAGAGCATGGTCTAGCGGAGCTAAATCAGCTTAGGAAGGAGAATGCCGAAATGCGCAGCATTATTGAGTCGCTGAGAGCCGAAATGGCTGAGCTTAGACGTGTCAGTACATCTCAAGCTACTCTGGCATCTGCTTCTCCGTGTGTAGGTTCTCCCTCTCCTCAACCCATGGAGGTTCCCATGGTCGTGGAAGCGGGCCCCTCGGGTAACCCAGCCAAGCGTAAGGCTGCGACTTCAGCCGAGAATGTGCAGGCTAGAGCTAAATCTGAAATTAAGGAGACTCTAAATTCAATTTGCCTTGAGATTCACAAACTTAATGAGCGTTTCTCGGCGGTCGATCAACGTCTCACAGTTATGGATCAGAAAATAGATATTCAACATGCCAGAATTCAATGTGTGGAGAATCAATTACAGAACGCCGGCCTTATGGTGCAGAGCCCCAATATCAGGGGAGCAGCTCGGATTCACCCGGATTTCTTTCCAGAGGGAACGCCTTTATCGGCGCCCATTCCCATGAGTATCCCCAGTTCGAATAGTACAGTTGCTTCTGTACAGAACCTGACGGCAGGGTCAGGGAGCACCTCCAATGATCAAGATGGCCTCGCACGCTGAATTTCGTATATGGCAATGGAACTGCAGGGGGATCCTTAGCAAAAGGGGCACCCTGCAGCAATTTGTCCGCTCTCACAGCGAGAAGCCGCAAGTGATCCTACTGCAGGAGACGCTGTCTGATAGTGTAACCCTCCCGGGGTACAAGGCACATGCAGTTAAAGGGGAAGGCAGAGGGATTGCCACGTTAGTCAGCAACAAGTTCACCTTTGTGACACATGATCTAGGGGTAAGACCTAATAAAACGGAGCTCTCCTTAGTTGAGGTCATTCCGAGTTCTTCCAACCTTTCCAGCATTTTTATACTGAACATATATAGTAGCCCTAGTGATCATAGGCAGCGTTTTAGGACGATCATAGCTAAGGCAACCAGATTGGCTGGGCTCTCTCCTCTGGTTGTGGCGGGGGATTTTAACTCGCCTTTCCGGGCGTGGAACTACCCGTATGATTCAGCTAAAGGCAGGAGCTTGTGGCAGGAGACGGGAGATGCGGATCTCTCGTTAATTACGGACCCGATGTTTCCTACTAGGCGCGGCACATCCACCACCAGGGACTCCACCCCGGACCTAGCTTTCGTGAAAAATGCTGGCTCGGTAGGTTGGGAAAATCTTCTGACGGATTTAGGAAGTGATCATTATATTACAGTTACTAAATTACAGATGGAGGCAAAATCTAAAAGAAAGTTTACTTACGTGGATTGGGATAAATTTCGGGAGTCACGCAGCGCTCGAGCGGAACAGGGGGAAATCCCGGACTCTCTGGGGCAATGGACAGAGATGCTGCTGCAGGACGTTAGAGCGGTTACCAGAACCATTGAGACAGAGGTACAGACAAACAAAATGGACAGTCGGCTTGCGCATTTACTGGAGGCAAAGCAGTCGCTATTGGCCAGATGGAAGGGTCAGAGACTTAATCGTAGGCTTCGGAAAAAGATAGCAGAGTTAAATACACAAATTGAAGAACATTGCAAAAACTTGTCGAGGCAGCAGTGGGATGAAATTTGTAATTCAGTCGATGGACAAATGCGAACCAGAGGTAAATGGAATCTTTTAAAACACTTGCTTGACGAGTCGGGCACTAAATCTAATCAGAGGGGGGTCCTTGCTAGAATACTTCATCTTGCTCAAAAATCCTCCTCGGGCGCGGAGCTATTGGGGCAGCTTGCTGAGAAGTATCTACCGCTAGCAGTTGATTCCATGCAAGCCTATCCGGGGTATATGGGAACACCTTGTGCCCATTTGGATGAACCCTTCACCATCAGCGATGTGCGTCGTGCCCTGCACGAACTTAATGGCCGATCGGCACCGGGTCCAGATAGGGTCACCAACAAAGCGCTTCGGAATTTGGAAGATGACTCTGTTGAATTTCTTACTGATGAGATTAATAGGATTTGGAAGGGAGGTGACATCCCGGAACAATGGAAGTTGGCCAAGGTGATCCTCATTCCCAAGCCCGGTAAAGCACCAAGTTTGGACAATCTGCGCCCCATCTCTCTCACGTCATGCGTGGGAAAGGTGGTGGAACACGTTGTCCAGAACCGAATCGCGGACTACATAGAGCACAATGATCTCTTCCCTCACTACCTTATTGGCTTTAGGCCAGGCCTCTGTACGCAGGATGCTATGAAAATCATTAAGTGTCAAATTTTAGATAATCATACCAGAGACACCAGGGCGATCCTAGGCTTGGATATAAAAAAAGCGTTTGATAATGTCCGCCATGATTCTATTTTAGATGCGATCTCAAGTCTCAACCTAGGTTCCTCATTTCATGCGTTTGTCAGATCCTTCCTGTGTGGTCGAAAAGCCATACTTAAAGTTGGAGATCTAGAATCGGATGTGCAAGCGCTGGGAAATAGGGGCACCCCGCAGGGATCTGTTCTATCACCCTTACTTTTTAACATCGTCATGGCTGGTCTCTCGAGGCAGCTTTCTGGAATTTCAGATGTTGGTCATACAATTTATGCCGATGATATCACCATTTGGTGTAGAGGAGGAAGTGATGGCACTGTAGAGGCGGCCCTGCAAGAGGCCATCGACACTACCGAGAGTTTTCTGGAAGACACAGGCCTTTCTTGCTCTCCGGAAAAGTCTGAGCTTCTCCTCTATAAACCGGTCAGGAGGGGCCGTCGACCGCGAGGCTGGGTGCCGCCCCTAGAAAATGACATCCACTTACGTACCAAAAGTGGACGATCAATCCCCAAAGTCGCTTCCATTCGGATCTTAGGTATGACGCTAGAAGCAACGGGCACCAACACCATCACGATTAAAAGGTTGGAAAAAAAGACAGACAGTGTTATTAGGCTCATAAGACGGGTGGCTAACCGAAGGACAGGACTATCAGAGGACAACTTGGTCAGGCTTATACATGCTTTTCTGCTGTGTCATTTTGCATATGTGGCGGCAATGCATGTCTGGAAGAGAATGGAAAGGGACAAGCTTAATGCAATGATCAGGAGAGCTGTAAAGAATGCCCTTGGGCTCCCCAACTACACCCACACCAATCGTCTCCTGCAGTTGGGAATTCATAATACATTGGAGGAAATTGCGGAAGCACAAGAAAGAACACAGGTAATTAGGCTGTCTGGCTCAAAAGCGGGGAGGATGATTCTCGCAGAAATGGGTATTCCACCAGCTCAGATTGAGGCTCTGTACCAAGGGTTGACGAGGGATCAGAAGGAAAACATCATTGTCTCGCCTGCCCCGCGGAACATGCATCCCCAACGTAATGTTGGAAGGAGGAGAGCGCGCGCTCGGGCCCTTCTTCGCCAAGTTGCGGATCTTGACGGGGGGGCCTGTTTCGTAGACGCGGCGCAATATGATGGCCAGAGAGACCGATTCACGGTAGTGGCAATCAACCACAAAGGCATTACAATTAATGCGGCGTCGGTATGCGCCAGAACTGCCAATGCAGCTGAGCAGGTTGCCATCGCCTTGGCTCTTTTAGATCAGCGTAATGAACACATATTTAGCGATTCTAGAGCTGCCATTCGTGCCTTCAGTGTTGGAGCTGTGTGCAAAGAGGCCAAAAATATACTCGGTGATAAGTTGCTTACAACCCATACCATTACATGGTTCCCAGCTCATATGGGAAACATGGACGGAGGGATCATAAATCTCAATGAGTTGGCCCACTCCAGGGCGCGAGGGTTAGCTGTCCGCGGCCATGGAGGACCTTTGGGTCGAACTGGAGATTTCGTAAACAGGGATCCGCCAACTACATATAATGAAATAACCCAACATTTCGCTATGGATAGGAGAATCTTTCCACCTCCACATGCGAAGCTAAATAGAGCGCAGGCGCTTACATTGCGATTACTTCAAACAGAAACGTACCCTAACCCTGCCTTTCTTCACAAGCTTTATCCTGATGTTTATTTAACCAACTCGTGTACAAAATGTGGCGGTTTAGCCACCTTACACCACATGCTCTGGGAGTGCCCTTCGGTACGTGGCACCGATACAGCATCGTCCAGAAAGTGGGACTCCGCTCTCCGGAGTCCAGACATAACATCGCAACTTTGGGCTGTCCAGAGGGCCCACGATGCGGCGCTAGGGCTCGGCCTTACTGTCCCATCGTGGGAGCGGCCCGCCGTGTGCTAGGGCGCACGCCTTCGGACTTGTCAATAAAGTTTTTCCAAACCAAACCAAACCAAGAAACACGAACACGCATGTAGGCAAAAGCAGGCCAGAAGTAGGAAGATTAGACAAATGTGTGTACTACCCATCGTTCCTATGCTCACTGAAGCGCCGTGCGTTGCACCTCCCAAAGACACTAGCGCCAGAGTTTTCTCTAGTGTATATTAGAAAACTCTGCGGTCGCAAGCGGTCTGTGCCTCAGAACTAGAGTGTACTAGTACACTCTATCAGAACGGTGCCAGTTATGGACGCTCCAACGGACGCCGGTCACGTCGGTTGCGTCTTGCGTCGGACTTTAGCTTTCCTAGCGTTACGTCGTTTGCTCTGCGTGCCCTCTCATGCAAGAAGAGAGACGCGCGCATCGCGTTCCAATTCTAGCCCTGTCATTTGCGCCAGAGGGAGCGTGACTACTACGGCAGCATGGATGGACAAGGCTCGAGCATAAGGAGCAAGCTCCTGAAAATTAAGGCAGCCTCGCACTATAGTGGCGCCAAGCCTAGAGTGAGTGCGCAGCTGGGCAGCAGTTGTTGTTTCTCTTCGGTTTTCTCTTTTTCGAATGCGAAGTATTTCTTAGCGAACTTCGGTGACTTTGAGCGTATCTATCTATCTATCTGTCTATCTATCTATCTATCTATCTATCTATCTATCTATCTATCTATCTATCTATCTATCTATCTATCTATCTATCTATCTATCTATCTATCTATCTATCTATCTATCTATCTATCTATCTATCTATCTGTCTGTCTGTCTGTCTGTCTGTCTGTCTGTCTGTCTGTCTGTCTGTCTGTCTGTCTGTCTGTCTGTCTGTCTGTCTGTCTGTCTGTCTGTCTGTCTGTCTGTCTGTCTGTCTGTCTATCTATCTATCTATCTATCTATCTATCTATCTATCTATCTATCTATCTATCTATCTATCTATCTATCTATCTATCTATCTATCTATCTATCTATCTATCTATCTATCTATCTATCTATCTATCTATCTATCTATCTATCTATCTATCTATCTATCTATCTATCTATCTAGCCGCCTACGACTTTCAGCTCTCCTGGCCGTTTCGATAATGGCATGAATACCAAACTCGCTATGGCAAAGCATGACTGTATGAAGAACATATTTGACTAGTCATAACATGAAAATCATGATATGTATGTCATGAATGTCATGATTTACATTTCATGGTCCTGCAGCTCTTGTGGTCGTTTCGTTCACATGACATGTTGCAAAACTAGTATGGTATAACATGACTGCATGGCTAACACAAGCGGCAGACCCTAACATGACAATCATGACATGTGTCTCATGTAACATCATGACTACGTTCCACGCTCATGATGCGCTCACGGCCGTTTCGCTAGCTACATACATACAAAATTTGGTATTACGGGACGTGAATGGATGAGGAAAGTATGATACTGGTGCAAACATGATAACCATGGTATGCGTGTCATGTAACAACA